CCCCCCCCCCCCCCCGGCCTTCTTTCCCCGTGTCAGCCTTACTTTTGTTTTTTACATCGCATTCTTGAATGGCCACAACAAGGAACCGCTCAAACAGCTCCACTGAATTGTGTGGGGGAGGCGAGGGGTGTTTAAGACAAAGAAGAATGAAGAAGTTGACAGCCGTATCAGCGGTGAGAATTATCAGGAAATATCCGAAACACTGGCTTTAATTTTCATTAACAAAACAAAAAAAGTAGCTGATCGGTCTATAAAAAAAAATAACAAAAAGTATAACTGTGTTGCACACATAAAAGATAATTACCGCAACATGAGTTGGGCCAGTTTCGTGAGGCCATGGATGTGAATGAGAGCAGCTATTATCGTGATGATGATGAGAATGATCGCCGCCACATGCAGCAGAAGATGAAGAAATGCCACCAATTGAAACTCCTCTTGTTACACGTGACGGAATTTTGTACGTTGGACATAGGGCTCGTATTCGATGGAAAAATGTTTCTTTTTCAACCTATAAAATATAAAAAAAAATAAAATCAGATATTTTTTATATATATATAACCAAAAAAGTTACTGAATACAGTGATCAGAGAAAGACAAGTTCGAACCAAAAAAAATGCCTCTTTTATAAAAATAAATTTAAAAAAAAAGTTTTTAATAAAACAAGATCAAAAAGTCAAAAATCATCTCGCAGTTTTTTTGTACTCGAAAATAGCTTCAGCGATAGCAAATGCCAACAGCAACCATTCGCTTGCCTGAGAAGGCTATCACAGAATCTTCCTGAAGGAAACTTGAAAAGTACCCTAAAAATTACGGATTTAAAGCAACTTTTTTTCAACAAAAATTCAAAAAAATCTTACTTGAACAGAAGCCTGTGATACATTGGCGGATTTTAATATTTTGATCGCTTTCTGCCGTACAATTTGGTCATTCGCATCATCGGTTACTTGAATATGAAGCGATGCAACATTCAAAACCGATTTCAGCTGCCAGAGATGCACATTTGAGTATGATAAAACACCTTCGATACTCATAATCTGCAGTTGCATAATCATGATTTTCAAAAGATAAAGAAACTCCCGAGTTCAACTTGACACGATTATCACCCTGAACCGAAAAAATCGCTACTTCTGGGCCTATTTCTTCATTCTATGAAGCTGAGAACTTTCCCAACTACTTTGACCGATGCTGGCCAGTGGTCAAGCTAACTGACCAATCATAGATTCGTTTCGGCTTTCAAGAGATTGTCTAATTTAACAATACTTCCAATAGATGCATTTGGCAACGTTTTATCATTTCAGGCAGACCTATGTGGGTGTGTAGTGTATCACCACTTCCCCAAGAACGCTGCCATTCCCTGGCTATGAGGTACCTTACCGAAAAAGTGATTACCATCATGGCTCACTGTGTATTAATTTCATAGGCTGATCCAGGGAGGCCTCCTAGAAGGAAGAGGGAGGGGAGGAGGAAGTGAGTCTTCTAGTGGGTGACGATCAAGGCGGTAAAGGGGGGGGGGTGAGACTCCTGGGAGGCAACTGGTGGTGCGGAAAAGAGTTTTCTTCAATTCTAGCATTGCTCTCTGTGCCATTGGGGGACGGGGTAAGACTCATCCCTCCCTTTCCTCCCCCCTCCCCCCTTGCCCCCTTGGTTCCGTCAATGATTAATTTAGCTATTCAAAAATTTTTTGATAACAACTGGTATTTTTTGTTCTACTCAAACCGACTGTTCATTTCGCCGGTGGAAGAATTTACCAGACTATGATTTCTATTTGTTGGTGGTACTCGTCTGTCAAGCAAGCTATGCTTAACTTGAGGTACTGAACATAATTTCGATAAGCGAACTTTCGAGCGAATATATTGTAAATTAAGACAGTTCCGTCGAGGCTATCTAACATTTTTCGCCAAAAAAGTTTCTGGATCAACTTTCGGAGAAAGGAACCAAACAGAATCCAGCTTATGGGTGTTTTAATCAAGTTTTATGGCTCTGACAATCTGCAATGGCCCCACCCTTCACAGAAAATGAAATACGATGAAAACTCGGCAAAATTCAAAATAAAATTTTGATTTTTTTTCCAGAAATCGACGCTGACATAAATTATTGCCTAAATAACTCCCCCCTCCTCCCTCCTCCAATTCTTCTCGAGAAAATTAAAGTAATGTCAACAATACCTCATGTAAGATATGTTCAAATTCTTCTTCCAGATGAGGTGGCATATTTTGCATCAAACTTGCCATCGATTCTTTCAGCAGCGGAATCACTGAGCCAAGGATGAGCATCGAGAGGATCAGCGAACACAGTGGGTCAACCCATTTCCATCCAAAATACTGGATCATCAGAGTGCTTATGATTACAAACACTGATCCAAGTGTATCAGCAAGCACATGCAAGAAAACACCTAAAACTGTCCTTTTTGACATATCAAAATTCAAACCGTTTGAAATCAATTGAAGAAATTTAAATCTGCTCCGACAGTCAATTCTTAACCGGAATAATCAATTTGCCTATAGTTCGTTCATTCGTTTCGATGGCAAATTGGTACTGACATATGCCCGGGGACCAAACCTATCAAAAAGTTACTTGTTTGAATGCGGAAGTCGTCGACATCCTTACCGGCCGATAGTTTCTGTTGGTGTTATCGCTCGAGCTGCTTTCCTAGTGTCTCCGCCTTTCACGGACAGTGGTCTTAAAAAAGATTTTGACCAGAGGGCTGGTCCAGGAAGGCCTCCTGGGGTGGGGAGATGAACAGGGAGAGTGGAAGGTGTATGGCTTTTATCGGCGACGAGCGGCTGAGGAGAAGGGGAAGGGAAGCGATGGAAGAGCGGAAGGAGAGAGTTTTCTACAGTTTTAGCACTGCTGCCTAAACCGTTGGGGATGGGAAAGAGAGTCTATCGTCCCCACCCCCTGAATCTGCCTATGATTTTGACTATCAATATATAAGTAGCAGCCAAAAAGGATGTTTCGATTCATGCGTCTTGTTCTAGTACAGTAACTTGAACTCGTTAGCGTAGATTTCTCATGAGGGCCATACTGTGAGTTGTATAAGCAGCTAGTAAGGGAAAAAATTTTGTCCATACCTTGCATATTAGCATTAGCTCCACCGTGACTGTGCCCATGATGTGAGTGTGAATGGGAGTGAGCAGCAGCGGTATCGCCATGGGAATGACCATGAGAAGAGTGATCGTCATGAGAATGCGCATGAGTTGCACCGTGAAATGCAAACATACCAAAAATATTCACTATCAGACCAGCAACTGCCACTATCTATGCAAAAATTGATGTTACGGTGACCTACAGTAAAACAACTATTACAGTACCCAGGTAAGAACGATCGCTATGGTAACATACAGTAGTAACGAGAGAGCTACATGTATCAGTACTCTTTTTAACGGGGCATAAAGACCAATAACAAGAATGCCAAGACTGTTTGGCCAATCACTGTGGGCAATTCACGTTAGGGATGTTACTTGGATGCTTGCCAAAATGAGTTACAGGACAATACCAGTCCTCGAAGGGCAGGTATTTGGCTTTTTTTATTAGGCTTTAGGTATTCGGCTTTTTTTTAGGAATCTAAACAACAGTAGCTTATCAAATCTTCACAATGAACTTACCATCAATTTATCAGTGCTCAC